TTTAACATTCTAGCAGACATTATACCAACAAAGCACAATTTAACTTAAAATTATTAAGTTAGTAAAATATTTTTTTGGACGTTTTTGAGACTTGATTCTTGGCAGAAACCCACAGGAAGATCTCAGTGCTTCTTTTTGTTGACGACAACATGCAGATTTATAAATGATTCTCATTACGAATTTGGGAAGACGTTTGTCGCACGTATCACATTGTCACATGCCTTTTAAAAAAATTCACAAAAATGTTACTGTACAGTAACAGTTTCAGTGCAGATTTTCCTCGCGATTTGGACTTTGAACCCTGGCGCCGCGAGCTCGTGCAGCGCTGTCAGAAAACATGCAATTCGTGCGTGCATAAGAAAATATGACATTCTGCAGTTTATTTACTAATCGTTTGAGGCCATTTCGCGATTTCAATCATCATACAGTAGCCTAACCGCCAGCATCAGCCACCTTTTCTTCTTATCGGAGACATGTGATGCAGCACTAAACAGTCTCTCGCTGTCGGTGCTTCATGCTTGTAATGATTTCTGCATCTTTCTCTGATAGTTTTAAATACTTTCACACTGGCGACATGTTTGCTGCATTAGTGCGTGCCTCTATTTGATCGCGTTAGTCATTGTTCGGTACATATTATTCTACTTTTTCGCTTATTCGGTTGCCAAACATTCAGTGCATTCCTAGCCTATTGTAGTAATGTAGGGATGTAACGATTACCGGTTTGACGATAAATCATGATAAAATTCCCCACGGTTAGTATTACCGTTTCATCTTTTAATTATCATTAAAACCGTATTAGATTACCGCGATTTGAACAACTCGTGATAAATAAATACTGTCCAGCATAAATCACAGTTTTCAGTAACAGTCTCACGTGCGCACAACAGCAGAGTAGTTTCGTTTTGAGTGAAAACAAGGTAGAAAAGCTGGGAGGTTTTAAAAGAGTGCTAAGGGAATTATACAAATGAATATATGAATGAATTAATTATTTGATTGTACCTCTGAAGGTTCTGACTGTCTTCAGAAACGATTCGATGGCATTTTGTTTTCATCTTCGTTCCATGTAATACCTAAAGGAAGTGTTCTGAATCGCAATGCTGCTTTGTCCACGGAGGTTACGGGAAAATTCAGTTTTTCCATAAGCGCCACCTGCTGTCAGCGAGTGGATTTACAGAGACTTATATTTACATTCAGTCTGTGTGCAGTTTCTGTCTGGCCAAAAACGGACCAAACTTGCATGCCCTGCTGTAAATTTTGACCGGTTGATGGAAAACAAGCTTATGTGGATTCTACACATTTAAACAATTCAGATAAGTTATCTAGAATTATTTATGGAGCAGATAAAATACATATAATCAGTTATTAATCAATTATAATTTTGACAATATATAATTATATAATATAATTTTCTTTATTTAAAGGCTGAAATGTGAGGTTTACCTTTTTATGAAACTTTTTCAAAGCTTTATTTGAACATTTACATATATTTCAACATGCTATTAAACTGTTGTCAGTCAAGTTGTCATTTAAAATCCGAACATCATTGGTAATGTTATTGTTTTAGTGATTATGCAAACAAAAAGTCATTTTATTTGTTGTTTTTTGATTTTTAAATCTAAAACTTGAAGTGATTTATGTGTCGGTACTTTTTTAACATCTCCAGCACATTTTAACAATACCGTGATAATACTGATAACCGTGATAATTTTGGTCACTAGAATCGTGATAAGAAATTTTCATACCGTTACATCCCTATAGTAATGTTGTCTCTGTTATTCTGGTCTGTGAGCATATATGTGTTCGGAGGTGTGGCTTTGGACGGCGATTGCAGGTAGGGTGGGACGTTCGCTTTCAGTGCTATCAGGCTAAAGTTTTTAGCATTTTCCAAGATCTCCTACTGCACCTTTAAACTGCGTGCCTAAATGGTCAAATACACACAAAAATGTCAAAATGCGGCGCTTTTTGATTATTCATGTAAACTTTCGTCAGTTGTGTCTTAAATGAACGTATAAACAGTTAAGAATGAAAATACATGTGTAACAGTATATTGGATCCGTGCAGCTCTTTAAGCGAAAACAAGTAATATTCCTTCTGCCGTCTCTGTGCTTAATATTAAAGGTGCAATAGGTGATTGTTTTCAGAAACATTTTTTGTTATGCTGGTTGAAAGTCTCTTCACATCCCGATAGCAATCATTAAGTTAAGTGGTCTAAATGTATTTATATATTCTGTGGAAGACGTAGGACCAAGAAATGTTCGTCCAATCAAATGCTCGGTCCGAGCATTTTGATTGGCTTTCCTACCTGCTTGTCAACATATGTATTTGCATACCTCTGCGCACCCTGTTCGCGCAGACACGATACATCATCAGCGCGTTCACGTATGCTGTGCAGACAGAGCGAGAATGGCAGGCAAAAATCTGACCTTCTGACCTTCCTTCCTGGTATTGTAGTACTTTTACTAACTGTGCTATAAAGTTTTCTCACCGGTGAATGACACATGATGTATTGTAGTAATGTTGTCTCTGGTCATCTGGTCTGTGAGAGTATATGCGTTGAGGGGGCGTGGCTTTGGACGGTGATTTGCAGGGAGGGTGGGACGTTCGCTTTCAGTGCTATCAGGCTAAAGTTAGCATTTTCCAAGTTCTCCTACTGCACCTATAAACACAAAATACAAAGAGAAAGATCCCTCACTGCTCTTGAATGAAGGACTTTTGTAGTGTTAATAAAAAACAAAGCATGTTTAATTCTTAGAGTGAAGACTATGCTGTTTTATTTTACATTCATTTAGCCTATTAAATTTCTGTAGTAGGCTGTTAGAATACTTTAGACTTGCAAAAAAGTATTCAGTATTTTTTTTTTTTTGCAAAATATTTTTTATTTGTATCTTTTTTCTGTTATATTTGACCTTTGCTTTTTTGTTTTATTGTATTACTAACTGTTTATTTATTTGTCAATAATTTAAGTGCTTTTCTTTTTAACTTAGGCCTATATAAGTTACCCTTGTATTCTGCTGTGGTATTGATAATTGTGAAATTTTGCTGGTATCTAAAATGTAGATGTCATATTAACCTTATTTACAAAAAATTTCTATTTCATATATATTGCTATCTTTAAATTAATCACTTAATGCAGGGCTCCAGACTAACTATTTTTACTAGGAGCACTGTAGCCCCTGATTGAAAATTTTTAGGAGCACAAGCAGAAAATTTAGGGGCACACCTTAAATCAGCCTGCAATGCAATAGTTCACATTTTCCCCATTTTAACTGTATTACTGACCAAAGTTTTGATAATAAATAGACTTAACTCTTAGAAATTACAATGTGCAATATTCTTTTAATTTCAGAGGGATTTGACAAATATATGATATGATAAAATTACTATTGTTTTGCATTAATAAGTGCAGTTACTAATAATATTACATGTTCATTTCTTGTTTATACACATTTGACAGTAAAGCACTAAGCTTGAGTTGGGAAGCTTACAGAATGCATTTTATTAGTCAAGTCAAGTCACCTTTATTTATATAGCGCTTTTAACAATACAGATTGTGTGAAAGCCGCTTTACAGTATCAAAATAGGAAAATAGGGTGTCGATGCAAAAGGACAATAGTAAACACTCAATTTTCAGTTAAAGGCAGTTCATCATTGAATTCAATGATGTCATCGTGCAGCTCAGTTCTGTTTAAATAGTATCTGTGCAATCAAGTCGATGATATCGCTGGAAATTAAGTGTCCCCAATAGGATTGGGAACCGAGAACCGGTTCTTATTCAGAACCGGTTCAGTTTTTGGAAAAGAGCCATGAGCAGTTTATAAGTTTCGGTTCCGAAAAAGGTTCTGGTGCGACACGTAACATTTGGCCAACCAGCTTATTCCTGCTTGAAAAGTAAAATGTTATTGATAGAGTAAAAACATCAACTTTGAAGCACATGTGATTTATGGACTATTACTCAACATTACTTACTACCTTACAGCAACACTACATGCAATGAAGGTAAAATAGTGAAAAAAATAATAATAGTTAATTTAAATGGAATCGGAACTGGGAATCGTTAGGCAAAACTGGAACCGGAATCGGAACCGGAAAGTTTCTTATGATACCCAACCCTAGTCCCCAACTAAGCAAGCCAGAGGCAACAGTGCCAAAGATTCAAAACTCCATCGGTGACAGAATGGAGAAAAAAACCAGGCTCAGTCGGGGGGCCAGTTCTCCTCCAGCCAGATGAACCAGCAGGTTGATCCATGCTGCAGCAAAGTAGATGCCATTCTTCTTACGATGTAACAAGTACATCGGGTGTTATTGGAAATGTCCCCAGTTCCGGTTGACCTAATTAATGCAGCCTAACAATCCTTTAACGGATTTGAGTAATAGAAATGTGTAAGTGTGTTATGTGTAAGCCAGGTTAAAGAGATGGGTCTTTAATCTAGATTTAAACTGACAGATTGTGTCTGCCTCCCGAACAGTGTTAGGTAGATTTTTCCAGAGTTTGGGCGCTAAATAGGAAAAGGATCTGCTGCCCGCAGTAGGGTTGGGCGATATGTCAAAAGTTTCTTATCGATGATTGCCTTCAAAAATATCGCGATATCCGATAATATCGTCTACCTAAGCCCCACCTCCACCCCGCCTTGCCCCCGCCGAGACAACATTGCCGACATGCACCATAAACACACCATGTTCAGTTTGGTCTTAATTATTGCCACAATGTTTGGTTTTACTTTTCTTAATTTGTGTTTAAACTAACAGAAAATATTAGCTTTGCTGTTTGTAACAACGTTCGTAGTTCGGGAAGAAGGAGGCGGGAACCGGCGAACACTTAAACAAAACTTTAATAATAAAATAAACACAAAACAGCACGACAGCCCCTCGCGAACGAGCTGGGGGGTACTCACGAGACTGCGCTCTACTCCCCCCTCCCCCCTCTGGGGGAGCCGATCACGGCGGCCGCGACGTACCTGGGGGTAATGACAGACAGACGGGGCGAGAGAAAAGGAGACGGAAGGATGAGGAGAGACAGAGGGGAGAGAGGAAAAAAAAAAATCTTGTTCCTGTTCCCAGACACACTGCCGCTCGGCCCTCCACCAGCTGGGTAAACTCTTCCGCAATGCCTGGCGGCGGCACTGGATAGCCCTCGGTGGACAGCCCGACACTCCTCCGCCGCCCGGTGGACGGCGACAGCTCCTCCGGGTTCGGGCAGCCGGCAGGAGTCCCCCGTTCCCTGCTCCTCCCCATCATGGCGGATGGCAGCAGGCTC